GCGCAATTTGCACCTTGTCCACTGCTTTTCTGAAAAGTGTAGTTGTGGTATGGTGTTCATACCATTGTCTAAGATTTTTTAGCCATGATATTCGTCTACGGCCTGGACCTCTTTTTCCTCCAATTTTTCCCTCTATTATCAGTTTAAGGAGTTCATATTTGTCATTTCTTAAAATGTGTCCAAAATATTCAAGTTTACGTTTTTTTAATGGGGAATAAAACTTCAAGCTCCTTATCTATTCTAAGAAGAACATCCGCGTTATGTACTCTGTATCCATCCAAGATATTCTGAGCATTCTACAATAGCACCACATCTCAAATGCTTCCAATTTTTTGCTCATGGCATCAGTTGATGTCCACGCCTCTACACCGTAATATAAAATGCTAAACACATAACGAAGCACACGAATTTGGAGAGTGCTATTAAGATCGCGACTACACAACACACACTGACTTCATTTTACCAAAAGACGATCTGGCCTGTTCGATTCTTGCCCGGACCTCTTGCATGTTGTCCCAGCTCTCATTGAGCTGACAACCCAGGTATTTGTAAGAATTAACGCGTTCGACTTGTTGGCCATTGACTACTAATATGCCCCTAATGTACCTACCTTTCTTTAGCTATAACCATTCATTTTGTTTTTCCTACATTTAAGCTAAATCCAAATTGCTGCAGGAGCTGCTAAATAAAGTTGCAGACGAAAGCAACTTTATTTAGGAGCTCCTGCAGACCTTCCAGTGTATCCGCGATAATAACTGTGTCATTGGCATATCTTAGGTTGTTTATTTCTATGCCATTTATAGTCAAGCGAGCTGTGGTCAAGCCCTCTTCGCAGTTGTGCAGTGCGTTCTCTATGATTTTATTACTGTACATATTAAACAACAGTGGAGACAATATGCAGCCCTGATGGCGAACACTTCTCCGTATTCGAACATCTTTGGACAATAATTGGCCATCAATCTTTATCTGAGCTGTCTGGTAATTCCTGTAAGTATAGGTTGGCAATTATATTTAGGTCTCGATCATCTAGACCAAATTCCTTAAAATATTCTATGAGCTTTTCGTGCTGGAATCGATCAAAATTCAAAAGCCTTCTCATAATCTATGAAACAGGCATATACTGGCACCAACACATCCCTCTAGAACGTTGAACCAAGACCTGAACACCAAATAGAGCCTCTCTAGTACCAAACCCTCTACGAAATCCAAACTGTGTGTCTTCCATGAACGATTCGCACATTCCGTATACTCTTTTATGGATGATCTTTAAAAATATTTTCAGCATATATGACTCATTAGGCTGATTTAAGTAAACGGTAATCACTGCACTTTTTTGCTGAGTGCTTTTTAGGCAGTGTAACAAAGGTTGATTTCATCCAGTCAACTAGAATTTTACCGCTGCGATAAATCAAGTTAAATAGTTTCACCAGTGTAGGTATTTAACGAATCTTCGTTTTTTAGAAGTTTTGAAACTTCCGTGTATACTTCGTCTTGCCCTACCGCTTTTCTGGTTTTAGCCAAAGATTGCGTGCTAGGTACTTCTTTTGTAATATCTATGCCTTGGTTTGAGAATTTCTCCAGATGTTCGGACCGATTATCGCTAAAAAGATTTTCTATGTACCTAGTTGTAATTTTTCTTTGGTATCAGGTATAATTTTGCCTTGGAGATTTTTGAAATATTATTCAGAAAACCATACATTTGTAATTCAGATTTTTCAAATGTAATTCAGAAAACTTCACTTGCAATTCAGATTCTTTAAATTTATCTTTGTATCTAATTCAGAAAATATTTGTATGTACCTTACCTAATTCAGATAATAGTTATAATTCGGAACAGACTTTTTGATGATAGGTTTAGGGCCGACATCCTTACAAGCAAAGCGAGTTTGTACAGTGAACTGGGAGTGTGTAAATTGGAAACAATTATTGGAACTAGAGCAATGCAAATTGATGCATAAAATAATACCTACTTCAACAACAAAAAAGTAATACAAATATAATTTTTTCTAATGAAGTACATAGTCACAGTCACAATACAAGAAACCAAAATAATTTGTATTTAAATAATTTATCAATTATTAAATTATTATAGATACCTATATACAGTATACAGTCCATATCATAAACAATGAAAGTTAGAAACAAAACTATGAAGTATTCTCAACAGTCTATGAGATTTTCTAAATTAGATTTGAAAAATCCGAATTACAAGTGAGATTTTCTGAATTTCATTTGAAAAATCTGCTCGCAATCCAGATAACACAAAACTACATGAAAAGTACTTCAATTGTACTGTATTTTCACATTTGCGTGCCTGAGCAGTACTTGTGAAAACCACTCAGCCGCTTCTGGGATGTCCAGCCGGCCAGTAAAAAAAAGGCGCAATCGTAGAAGCACTGCAATTGCGCACTTCCAACATGGAGTGCTCTAAGTGCTCCAAGCGTACGTTGGAAGTATTCGTGAAATGCTACATAAAAGCACTTCTCCGACAGAGAAAAAGCACCACTAGAACATCTTTTTTTGGTAAATTTATATTGTACTCTTAAAGTACTTCATTGAAGTATTTTTTGAGTACATTTTTTATTTCACTGATAGCCCATTGCAAATAAAAAACAAACATTTTGAAATTATGATCTTTTAATAAATAAACATAGGAAACATAAATAAAAAATAAAATAAAACATATTCATTTCTTCTAAATAATTCTTCTTCGCTTTTCCTGGTACCTACCTGAAAAAGAAATCATACTTAAATTAAAATCTCCTATACGAGACACAGAGGGCACCAAATAAAATGAGTTTAATGGGGTTTTTGGAAACTATTAAAGTACAGGGGGTACGTGGCTCAAATGAGAAAATAAGATGCCCAATTAAAGACTTATTAATTCATACATATCGGAGTCGTTTTGGGGATGGAAAATTTGAAATGACAGATTTCAAATTTGGCAGCTTCGTCGGGTACCTACCTAAAGGGAGAAACGTTCATCTAATAAAGTGAACTTATTTTGCAATAAATTCTTGTCGTATAGGCCCTAAAAAAATTGATACGATTTTGCAGAGTTTCGTTAAATAAACAGTGAAAACACAAACACACCCACCACGCATGCATTACCACCTACAAGCACCACATACAGCGCAGAACGAAATAATTTGGATTAACCCATAACTAATATTTGATAATCATCACTCACTTACCCTTTGGAACTCATTATTCTTCCAGTGAAACCGAAAACACGCACAGAACCCAAACACGTACGAAACTAAATGCCCAAAAATGCAAACATTAAAAATGGCGCAATGGCGGCAGCCGGCAGCTTCGGCTCAGGCTTCCTTGCTTCTGCTTGCCTTCTTGTCGCTTTTTTATCCCTTTCCTTCCCACATTTGATATGTGTGGTGGGGGTTGCACCTCTGTGGTGCACCACCTGCACGATCGGAGTATCTCTAAACCTATAATCAATCACTGCCGACTGCAGGCTCTCAGGCAGCGCAGGTAGAGCACTCAGAGCAGACTCTATTCTTTCGGTACCTTGGTAAGTGTTCAGGAAGTGCTGTTAGCGTACCGCTAATTCGCACACTAAAATTATGCGGTTTTGCAGTGGTTCTCCTGCACATTACAGATCATTCAATTTAAAAGTTGAAATAGGAGCATTTCTTCGATGCTGCTAGCTTATTTTGATTTGGTTTGTTTTATTATACGCACTTTTAGCATATTTCCAAAGCATTACCATTGAAATACTATTTTCTCCAAAGTCGGCCGGAACTTTTCGAGCACATTGACGCACATTGTGTTATCTGGGAAGTTACCCGATGTTCAACTTTGTTCAAGTTGTATTTTGTTTGGCTGTTTTAAATATAAATAAATAGGCATATGATTCACTGAAATTGAGGTATTCAATTTAATTACGAAAGTTGGTAAGTACAGTTATTTTACAAGTAGTACAAGTACAAGAGCCAGGATAATACACAATACTACCACAGGATAGCCTATCCTCATAAAGCTTGTGTAGTTCAAGTCTCAAGCCCCTCACCATGCCAAAGCATCAGTGATGACGTAGGCAGCATGTAGTTCCTCGCCTTGAGGTAGGGTGTTTGCACCACAGGTTATGATTCCGCGGGCTTTTGCTTTATGCATACTTGGTTTTGCTTTTACTACATTAATTATCATTCTTAAACAACTCCTTTTGCAATCTTGTTTGCATCTTCCGATTTGCCTTTTATGTTAATCAAAATTAAATTAATATTCTCATCATAAACAAAATTCTAAACTACGACCTTACCACGACCGCTGGCGCAAACAGCTGACGACTTAATTAATGACGTCGGCAATGGTGCTACCACAATATGGTCGCGCAGGTATTTTTCATGGCAGGTGTGCACTCGGTGTGACGCCCAGGGTGATTTCGAACGCACTTTAGAGGTATTATCCTTGGTACAAGAGGTCCTTCAAAAAGTATTGCTTGCGCGCGCTATTTTGTTTATTTGCCAGCAATGAACTATAAGAGATGTTATTTATTGAAAAATTTGCTTTCGGCGCCATTACCGCCATTTTGCTTACCTATAAAAAATTTAAGGGGGTGTGGGGCAAGTAGTGTACGCCCCATGTCAAATTTGTCATGCTCTATCACAAATTTGACTCTAGCTACGGCTCTGGTTCGCGGTTCAACTAGAATCGGTTCTAGTCGATTCTGAACTAGTTCTACCGGTTCTAGTCTAGGAATTTAAAATCATAAAATGAGCCAATTAATCCAAGACATGCGCTGTTTTATACATTTGCAATTATTGGCAAGGAGTAATAGAGAGTTCCGAGTTTCTGTTTCTTTTTCCAAAATCGTTCACGGTAAAATCAAAAAATCCTGAAATGGTTAGCGTTTTTTATTCGCGGTTCGGTTCAACTAGAATCAGTTCCGGATCGATGCTGAATTACGCGAAGACGCTAGAAACTTCGCGCCATCTAGTTTTTATTTTATAACGAAATCTGCTTTTAAATTTGACATTTTCAATAGTTGCTTCGCTGTTAAGGTTATGTTTAATGTTTAGTCAAATTTGTATTCCTTCTTTCTTTTTAAATATTGTATCGTTTTATCAGGATTAATTGTTTAAAATCATCAGTGTATACTATGTTCTCCAAACAGGGATTTCTATTTTTAGGTAAATTGAAAAAACATGAGAAATGCACTTTTTTATAGTTGGATAATTTCATAGTTCATAGTAGGATAATCTAATAAAGATAACATAGCACTAGCATGTGCTTAATGTTGGTAAAGTAGTATATTATAATCTAGCAATATGCTCAATAAATTGCAATGCAACCTAGTCTCGACTTTTTGGAAAAATTGATTGCTAGGATTTAGGAATGGGATAGGATGAGCTACGAATAAAAAAAAATGTTTTTTTTTACAGACCTAGGTTTCTCTCATGTATGCTCAAAACTTCAAATTTACTTTGAAAATTGTTTATCATCTTGGAACAGAATTACAAAATTAGAAGTCATGAGATTTTTTTTTCTAGGCAAAGAATGCAAAAAAGTCCTAAAATATGGTTTCAATAATTACTCCACAAGCACTTCAAAACCCAAAACAGCTATAGTGATGTTAAACATGGGAGGGCCACAACGTACAGACCAAGTTCACGATTATTTATTGAGAATTATGACTGATAGAGACATGATCCAATTTCCTTTTGCACAAAAGTAAGTACTCAACACAATTTTTCATTATACAAATTATATTATTAACAAAAATAAAACTAGTTTAATGGGTAAGTGGATAGCGAAACGTAGAACTTCTGTAGTACAACAAAGATATGAAGAAATAGGTGGTGGTTCACCGATTTTAAAATGGACCACCCTTCAGGGCGATTTGTTGTGTAAAAGGTTGGATCAGGAACATCCTGAAACAGCTCCGCATAAGGCTTATCCAGCTTTTAGGTATGCAAGCCCTTTTACAGAGGATGCCTTAGAAGAACTTAGAAGGTAATAAATAATCATGTTCCATCTCACAATAAATTAATTATGATGTTTTTAGAGATGGTGTGGAAAGAACTATATTATTTTCCCAATACCCTCAGTATAGCTGCGCTACATCAGGCTCTAGTTTCAATGTTGTCTCAAGACATTTGCAGAAGATGGGCATTCCAAAAGGAATGAAACTAAGTATTATTGATAGATGGTCAGTTCATCCACTTTTAGCCAAGTGTTTTGCGGATTTGATTCAAAAAGAACTCCACAAGTTACCACAGGATATTAGAAAGGAGGCTGTCATTTTGTTTTCTGCACATTCATTACCTCTTAAAGTAAGAACTTTTAATTTCTAAAAAACATTAACATGGTTGCGCTTTCAAAAGGTTTGTTTGAATTTTATTTATTTTTTTCACAGGCTGTAAATCGTGGCGATCCATACCCATCTGAAGTAGGTTGTACCGTTCAACTTGTAATGTCAGACTTGAAATATTGTAACCCCTACCAATTGGTTTGGCAGTCCAAAGTTGGTCCTCTACCGTGGTTGGGCCCCTTTACCGATGAATCAGTCAAGTGTTATGCCAAACAAGGAAAAAAAGCTCTTATAGTCGTGCCTATTGCTTTTGTCAATGAGCATATTGAAACTTTACATGAGCTTGATATTGAACTTGTTGAAGATGCTAAAAAGGTAATAGTAGTAATTGTAATTACCCACAATTTTGTGAGCAAATTTTCTTTTCAGGCTGGTATTGAAATAATTCGTAGAGTACCAACACCAAATGATCATCCGCTATTCATAGACGCTCTTGTCGATCTGGTAAAACGCCATTTAAAGAGTAACCAAGCTGTGAATCCGAAACTATTAAATCGTTGCCCGCACTGTGAAAATCCCAGTTGTTCAACAACCAAGAAATGGTTTGCTGAAAATTGCAGTATTTAGGAAATCTATTTATAATTTTGGGTTTGGGTTTAAACAAAAAATCACAAATTTTATCTTCAATATCTCAGGTAATTTATATTTAATGTTTGTTAATGGTTGGCTATTATAAGTATACTGTTGCTGTAATTTAATAAAATGTTCGAGAAAATGTTCCTGGTAAAAAACATGTAGTTATCCTTTCTTGAATTATTATTTCAGTATTTTCGGATTGCATACTTTGAAAATTCTTGGTAACATTTCAGTCATAGATGTAAATACTCCATTAGATATGCCCTAAAAATAATCAGAACTTTAAAAAGATGATGGAGTAGAATAGAATCATATCTAATTATTGCATTTTGGAACAAAATCTAAAGTACACACTAGGTCCCTCTATCTTACCTACACTTGAAAGAACAAATTGTAGCATGAATTTCACTGATTTCATTGATTTCAACTGTATTTCAATTAGAGTGAACTGGCGAAAAATTGATGGACAGTTATTTACTTCAAGTGATATTACAACATTTAAATGTATTGCGATTTCTATCTCTTACCTCAGGCAACATAAACTGAAGATTCTTGAGTTCAGATCCTCCCCAGGAAGCCATTTCTATCATGAAACCCTTTACACACTTGAAAACTAATTCTGCTCGTTTTTCACACCAATTTATAGTCATTTCCTGGAAAAAATCAAAATACAAAATAATTCTGACACAATCAACCTAGAGCTCTTAGTAAATCCCTTGAAATAAGAAATTAATTTCTTACCTCTGTCATGTCATACTGCAACAATAAAGGAATAGTCAACGAAGTTACATCATTAGAACAAGCAGTTTTTAAAATATGTCTCAATCCCAACACTACTGGATGTCTACTGTTGATATCGCTTCCTCTCAAACTATCATCAGTAACCATATGAAAAATAACGTGGACTTGAGCCAAATTCGAGTGACGTGTCAAATAAAAATCGCCAGGCTGTAAAAGTTCACTGTGCGCGTTTCTAGAAGATTCCAGAAGTGGTTTTTTAAAATATTGAAGAGCCACATCTGAAATTTTGTCTAGCTGTTCTTCTATATGAGGAAAATGGAATTCGGTAGTTCTTTGGCAGATTTCTTGAAAATCTTGGGTTAATCTTGAGCCTATTTTGTTGTCTGTCATTAATACCAGCCCGGTTAAGTCGTTGGAATACAAACCTAATGCAGTTTGGAGCAGCTGTGGAGTTGGTTCTGACCTGAATAAAAAATAAGATTGTTTATGCCCAAAAAAATCTGATTAAGTATACCTACAATAGTTCATTATCTTCAATCGCACACAGATCCATAACGTTAGCCGATAATATTCTTATATTGTGCATTTGCTTCAATTGAGATCCTAAATGAATAGTGAAACTTTCTTCTAATATTGATTGGTTAATTTGATCTCTACTAGTATTACTTTCGTTGCTTGGGAAGTCTTTGAGTGGAGCAGGACTTAGAGGAGAACTACCAACAAAATATATTTATTTATTTAAATCCTTAGTGCTTACATTATACCTAAATTATAATAGTTAGTACTGTTTGCAGTTAAAATAACCCTTAAGCGTACTAGACTGTTTTTCTCCTCATATTAAGTAGCTTTTGTAACGTTAATTGGTTGATTCTAACCTTCTTGTTATTTACGGAACTCTGTACAAAAAAACAATAAAATTTTTGAATGTGAATGTTTTTCTCAGATTCAGATTGGATTTGTACAATAATGTTTTAAGATGTTTTTAAAATAAATTAATTCGATATTACAAGTTTTACTATTTTCTGTTGTCTTTGTAAACTAATTTATTGAGAAGTTGTTTGAATGTATGTCTATTTTTATAATTTGTGTTAAAATCTCCAATATGTAATAAATAGTATACAGAGTCATTTACGTAGCCCTTGCATTAGATTGCAGGTGGATTAGATGATATTCCTACTAATCCACCTGCAAACTGGACCACTTCTAATGCATGAGCTGCTTAAATCACAGTGTAAATTAGTAGTCTTGCAAATAAAAACTTGAATTTTGTTATTTGGTTGTAATTATTGGAAAACCAAATTCTTACTTTGGTGTAGGTAAAGATGAGTTGGCTTGGTTTTGTTCCACCATTTGCATAATCCATTCCCTGTATTCACGTCTTTGGGCTTCTTTCATGGTATCCAATTCGCTAGTGAGTTTTCCTTGCAGCAATGAATGGGTCTCATAGTGGCTGGCGACCAATTCATTGATTTTTGTTTCAGTCATGTCTTGTTCCAGCCTATCAACTGCTTTATTCATCTCTTCGCTTTGTCTAAGAGAAAATAAGACAAAAAAGGTTTCCTTTGATTGTAGAAAATAGAACAAGTGACGAACCTATTTGATAGTTTTTTTATTAGAATGTTTTTTTCTTCTGCTTTTTGGCGGACGCTTTTAGAATACATGTGCTCGAGTTGGAGCATGGTTTCCAATGCTGGTGAATGCACTAGTTTATGGTAAGCTGTGGCGAATAGTTCTTCGTCAGATGCACAACGTTTTTCTCCAAATTCTACCATTTCCTGCAACAAATAATTTCTCATAATAAAGAAACAGTGAATAAGGAAGTAACAAATGAACAATGCATGCATGTAACTTGTTACATGTTTCTCTCTCAAGGTGTTATTGGTGGCGTGAGTGGTGCGGAAGAAGTTAATGCTCTTTTCTAACCCAAGCGATATGAGAACCATTCTAGAGCTCTAATTTTCAGTCAATCAATTCAATTGTCAAGTAGGATAAACATTCAACTCGGGTTCGACCTATTGAAAAATAGGTGGTCAACTGGAAATTACTAATTCTGGAACGGTTCTCATGTCGGTTAGAACAGAGTCACATGTACAATGACGATTCAGTGTTTTGTAAGTTTCAATAGAACCAATATTAACAAACCAATATTAACAAAATTACAACAATAAAGTTATTAACTTAATTAATTAACTAATCTATCAGGTATTCTGCTATGTTCTATACAAGTTATGCCCAAGGCACCTAGATGTTTGAAACCCCTGTGTGTGCCTTATATGTCACTATGTGAAGAAAAAAAAGAAAGCTCTTTATAATTTACTAATTAAGTCAAGAAGAAAAAAAATAAACTGTTGAGTGATACAGTACACATTAATTTTAGGTATAATTGTCACATACATTATTTAGCAAAAAACAGTTAAGAATGATCCAATATTAGAAAAAATATACTCTTTACATTTCTCAGTGAATTTCTTTCCCTTCTGAATACCTCTTATGCTATTTGGCAACTGATTATAAACTTTAGGCCCGATATAAGAAAAAAAAGTCAGATTGCTATTATTGAAACTACGAGGTATATTTATGTGGTGGTTAAGGTTGTTTCGTGTACTGTGTTCATGGTTTATATGGTCTTTCAGATAGTCATTTTTTTGTACATAGCTACTTACTGCAGTCATGTATAGTGTACGTATATTACAGGTCTCCAATGTAAATATAAGATGTGTCGGATATCTCTTATTTTTCCTATATACTAGTTTTAAGATATATTTTTGCATGACATTTAGTTTTTCAAGATTAGTTTTGTATAACCCTCCCCAGACCACAATCCCATAGGTAAGCAATGATTCAACTAGTGATTTATATATAATAACTAATACCTTCTTGTTGAGGAATTCCCTTAATAGATAAAATTTATGTATTAATTTTGCAATTTTATTTGAAACATAATCTATATGAGGTTTCCACTTAAGAAATTGGTCGATCACAATTCCAAGATACTTAGTATGTGCAACTTCCTTGATAATTTGTGTATCTATTGCTATTGATGTAAATGGTGGTCTGTTAGCAAATGTTAAGGAAAAAGCAATATAATTGGTTTTTGTTAAATTTAGTCGGAGTCTGAAAGTTTGAAGCCAATTCTTTACCAAAGTTAGACCATTCTGCACATTGGCTCTAACCTCTTCCCATGTTTTATCTTTAAAAATTAAAACTGTGTCATCTGCATACGATATCCGTCCCCATTTATGTTTACTTTTAAAAGTGAATTTATGTATGCAATAAAGAGAATGGGTCCTATGACTATGACGACCTATACAGACGCTTCAATCTACAACCCTTGGCAGCTAGACGCAATCAAAGAGATTTATATACTTTTTACAAGGTACTGAACTCCATTAGTGATTCCGCATACCTACTGTCCAGAATAGGGCTTCACGTCCCAGCAAGGGACACCCGCTCTGCCATAACCTTCTCAGAAAGAAATCACCGTACAAACTATGGTTTCAATACATTCATCTCCAGAACTTCTCGATTAGGTAACACCCATGGTAGCCTGGATTTTTTTGGACCCATAAATAGCTTTAAAAGAGAGCTTAACTCTCTAATGTAATTCTCCTTGTTTGTTTGTGATGCCAAGTTCGATAGCTAAGAATTTCTAGTCATCTTGATCAGTCATTATTTATGTTTGTCCTCTATTTTCTTATACCTATAACTGATTTAATGTTTTACTGTTAATAATTTATATGTATTTTTATCCTGTCACTACGCCAAGTATTACTGGCCTATGTTTATTTAGTTGTAAGGTACTTAATGTTTCTTGTTGTTTTTTTTTTTTTAATGGGTCTTGCCCGTAAATAAATAAATAAATAAATAAATAAAACGCTGCCCTGTGGTACACCAATTTCTACTTTAAGCTTATCGCTAAATATGCCATTAAGCTTGACCATTTGATGTCTATCGTGCAAGTAATTTCTCAGGACTTCCGACACAATTCCCCTGACCCCACACTGCGACAGAGTGGCTATAAGTTTATCATGAGGAACCGTGTCGAATGCCTTGGCAAGATCTATAAAAACTGCCATGCACCTCTCACCACTGTTCAAACAGTTATTAATAATTGATGTTAGTTTAAACATAGCATCAGTGGTGTTCGAGCCCTCAAGGAAACCAAACTGGTTTGGAGAAAGAATGTTGTTTCTTTTAAAATATGAAAGTAGTCTGTCTTTTATGCACTTCTCAAATATTTTTGCAAAATTGCTTATCAAACCTATAGGCCGATAATTTTGGATGTCAGATTTTGATCCAGATTTATGAATAGGTACAATTACTGAAACTTTAAAAGCGCTAGGGACAGTGCCACATTCAAATATGCAATTTATTATGTGCATTAGGGGTACAATAATCTCTGAGTGAGTATTTTTTATCAGTTTTGCACCCACTCCATCAAGACCTGGTGCACTATTATTTTTTAACGAGGCGATATGTTTAATAAGCTCATTTCTTGTAACAGGCGCAAGAAACATAGAGTTTGGGATTGGCATATCCAAACTATAAGACTGTGAAGGGGTAGGTATCTCGGTTTCTAATTTAACATTATTCTTTATAAAAAAGTCATTGCAATAGTTTGCCATATCCAGTTCCTTTTCAAATTCTTGGTTTTCGTCATTTAAAATTTTTGTCGTTTCGTTTTTATTTTTGGTCTCATAGGTTGCATCCTTAATAATTTCGTAAATTTTTTTCATGTCATTTTTGTTTGTTTCAATTTGGCTTTTATAATAATCATTTTTTTGTTTATTTATTAGTTTTTGTAATTTATTTCGGTAAAGTTTATACTCATTAGCCAGCTGTATATTATGATTTTTTAATAGTTTTTTTTTCATTTTATCCCTCCTTTTGATAGAAGTGATGATTCCATTTGTAATCCACTTTTTAATTTTAATTTGTTTTACATTTTGAGTATTATTTTTAATTTTTGCCTTTGTCATTAGGGTTTTATATGTTTCAATAAATTTGGTTGTTGCTATTTCAGGATTTGATATTGATGTTATAAAATTCCAATTTTGTTTGTTCAACAATGATTTCAGTTTTAAAATGTCTACTTTAAATTTATTTTGATTTTGGATTTTATTGTTCTCACTGCAGGTGATACTGGAATCCACACTTATATCAAGAAATATAGGGCAATGATCTGTGATATGGTGATCAAGCACAAAAGATTTATATGTTAATTTATCCGTTTTTTTTTGTTGTTTGACAAAAATATGGTCGAAACATGTACCAGTGTCAGGTCTAGTTACAGTATTTATGTATGAAATATAACCTTCATGGGCCATGCTTGCAAGATAAGCAAATGCATCATCACAATTTTTATCAAGAATATTTATGTTTGTGTCACCTATAAAGATTTCGATGTTCCTGTTTGCATTTGACTGTAGGTAATTCTGTATATCATTTATAAATTGAACTTTGGAAATAGGCGGGGGTTTATGGGAGGCAGTTATGCCAATGCTGATGTTATTTTTTTTTAAAGTAATTCTGCCTATTGTGGCTTTTGAAATATCAAATTCTCTTTTGGAGTATGAAGGATTAAATTCATTTTTTATGTATATAATTACCCCATCATTTCGATTGAATTTTGCATAATTGTAAAAAATAGCATACCCATCAAGGTTACAGTTATCAATTGATTGGATTTGAAATGTTTCACTAAGAAGTATTACATCTACCGTTGACAAATCAAAACTTCTAATCAGAAGCAGTAAACTATCCATGTTTCTATTTACACTTCTGATATTAATATGCAAAACACTTATTAGTTTTTTTTTATTATTCAATTGATTATGCAGTTCTTCACTATCCACTAGTTTTCCTGTATGTGTCCGACTATCCAGGTTTATTATATCTAAAACTTCTTCATTCTGCAGCAGGACCATTATGATGAACCATAATAATCAATACGGCTTCTCATTATTTTTAAATAGTAGTTAGTGGTTGGACAGCTAGCATCGAATGCCGCATGATTTGTATCATATTTTGTGTTGTACTGGTTATTTGCGGAAATACAGTTTCCACAAGCCTTCTCCTGTCTTGAACATTCCTTGATATCATGCTCACCAGAACAGTTTCCACATACTTGAGTCGCATTGCATGTGCTACCTTTATGGCGATAGCCCTGACAGTTATAGCATCTGGTTATATTAAGGTCTTCATAAACAGAAAATCTTTCCCAATAAATGCAGATTTTACTAGCATCAATCATTTTGCTAAATAATTCCGGTGAACATTCCCCAAAAACTGTTGACTGGTTTTTGGAATTGTTCTTTTTCACATATGTTATTTTGAGTTTATCGTTCTGCTTTATCCAGTTATTTTGAACCATTATTGACTCTTCAATCTCTTCTGCTGACTTGTTACCAGTGTAACCTACTATTTTGATCCGTGGCATCCTCAATTTTGGAGTCTCTATAACATATTGGCCCTTAAGTTGTTTTTCAGCCTCGTTTTTAAATAGCTCTATGTCTTGCTTGGTGGTGCATTTCACAATAACATTTCCATGGTTAGCTTCTTTTAAATTTTTTATTCCCACCTTCAGCTGGACAGGGTTTATTTTTGTTTGTAACTCATTTTTTGTTTTCTCAGAGCTTTGTTTAGCTTTAGGTTTTATAATTAGAGTAGGTGTACTATAGTTAATTTGTACATGTTGTGCGTTGTCAATTCTTCCTTCTTTCCTCAATATTTGTGCGTATGTTTCTCCTTGTTGGGTGCCCCCATTCTTAATACTACTTTTCAATTCTTGAATTTCATCCCTCAAATCATCTATCATTTTGATCATGTAAGGCATTCTTATAAGATATTTTTTGCATTTCTCACAAATAAGCATCAAGACGCGCTTTTGCAGGGGCATAACTTTGGTTTCTGATCCTCCTAACAATGCACAGGTTCTGTGCATTCTGCCTAGGCAGCAATCACATTCAAAGCAGTCATCAGAAATACTTTTTTCACACTTTACACAAATAATTTCCTCGGGGTCATCATCCATAATGTAGACAAGTTTTTATTGGTATAATACAACAGTAGTTTTTATGTCTTTAAAAATATTTCACCAAATGTTTTTATCAGTCCGTTTTTTTTAGGTCGAGATTTAAATTTGAATGAAGGTTTTTATTGCACATTAACACAATAATATTAGACGCTTATTTCAAGTTTCTATTAAATCTTCTGGGAAATTTGTTTTTCTAACCTGATTTTCCCATAGAGGACACCTCATTCTACATTTTCTTCAAAAACCACAAATTGTTGCACAGTTTTTACCACTTTAAATTTATTGTGATTGTGGGTCTGTTAAAAATTTGTCTGAAGCCAATTTTTTAACAAAATCATGAGTGCATAGCGCCTGAAAAAATCCCGAACCCGAAGGGTGAGGGATTTTTTCTTTGGCGCTATGCACGAATGGTTTTGTTTAAAAAAATTGACTAAAGACGAAATTTTTGAAAATTTCCTTTAGGAAATATTTTATGCACGTGTTATATTTTGATAGGAAATTTCCCGAGTTTGAAGTTTATTTACTATAAGTTGTTTCGAATATTTTAAATATGATGATATGTTCTGTGATGGTGATTTTTATTGATCTTCCCTATTTAAATTGCGTTTGTCAAAAAATATACACTTTGACAGATTTCTGACATCAATGCGTTTTAAATGGAAAAGCTGGTCTCAATGCCAAAAATGACA